CGTCAGACGCGCGATTTTCGGACGGTTTTCATCTGCGGATCGACGAAAAGGTGAAAATTCGTAAAGAAACCATAGCATTCGCCCAGGAACTGTAACCGTGATAAATGAGCCATCTGACCCAACTGACGGTCAATGTGCAAAAAACGTGCTACCCAACTGACGGTCAAATGATGGGTTACGCCACCCAATTATAGGACCGGTGATTATTTTAATGTCTCGGTTGTTTCACCTTTGCTTGATGCATCAGTTGCCGTTTTTTCTTCCAAATGTGCATAGGTTTTGGAGTGGCTCAAGGGTTTGTATGTGCGTTGGCGGGAGGGAGGCAAAACAAACCTTGGAGTCGATTGTTTTTCTGCGTTGTCATTACACTAATGCTGAGCATTCTAAAACAGTTGAGGTGGCATTGCACCCTCAGGGCCCACACCCGTTCCTACCCATATGAAAATGTATACATGCCACCTGCCCGTGAAACAAACGGTGCTTATGAAGATGTGCAATCGACGCTTGAAAACATGTTGTAGGGGCATTAAATAAGCGGTTTCTTCCCGCATGGCATTTCTTTTGAGCCGGGCTGCGGAGCATACTGCGTTATAGCACTGCTTAAAAAACTAGTTTTGGAAACAAATCGTCATGGACTCGATGCACGGGTGCACTTACAACGTCCAGGGATACATGTTGCCTCTGAAAATAGCTCTTCTTTCTTGAGATACACTGTGAGGGCATTTACGACCCCATGCGTTTTAAAAGAATCGGTGACCCACACCCTACATCAGCAGAAGCAGTAGCTAGTACCTAATCGCAGGCAATCGAGCAGCATGCAAGGCCATCATGGCTCCATTGTCATAAAAATCCAGAGAATGGAAACATGCAGGACAGATATGATGGACTAGGATACGCTCGAAGCTCATGTAAAAATCCCACATTGCATGCAATGGACAGCTTACTTTATCCAACGAAAGAAATCGACGCAGTACCCCACTTATCATTAATGTCGGCGGCCTTATCTTGAAAAAACTGAAGTGAAATTGGTGAACGTCGGAAATAAACGTGAAATCTTTTAATCGAGAAATTTACATCTTGACTACCGAACAGCCTACACCTTTGATATAAAATGTCTGCGTCACAAAATTTCAATCCAATCACTGGTAGACACACAACGTACATGTCATGGTATGTGGGGACGTGTAAAATATGGGCACGAGTAATGTACCCATAAACCAAATTTTTACACCGTCTCGAAATCTTTGTTGTGTTAGTGACCGCTGTCAAGATCCCGAGATATTTCTGGGGTCAAGCCCGAATTAAGCCTCAATCAGTTGTAATATGGAGTTTCAAGGCCCAACTCTACCAATAATAGGCCTGTTTTGGTGGTGTGCCCACAAACAAGGTCCAACACACATGTCCCCGCAAAACAAAATAGGGTGAATAGGGTGTGTGTTGTGGTGTGGGCGTGTGTGTGTGTGTGTGTGTGTGTGTGTGTGTGTGTGTGTGTGTGTGTGTGTGTGTGTGTGTGTGTGTGTGTGTGTGTGTGTGTGTGTGTGTGTGTGTGTGTGTGTGTGTGTGTGTGTGTGTGTGTGTGTGTGTGTGTGTGTGTGTGTGTGTATGTGTATGTGTGTGTGTGTGTGTGTGTGTGTGTGTGTTTGTGTGGGGGGTGGGGGGGGTGAGTACGTGTGCATGTGTGTGGGGGGTACGCGTGTGGGTGGGGGGGGGGGGGTGTATGTGTGCGTGTGTGCGTGTGGCGGCCCTCTGCAGACCGTCGAGAGGCGCGCTGACCGGGCCTGTTCGGCTGCAGTGCACTCGGCGCTGCAGGCGGAACTGAGCGGATGTATACGTAACAGACGAGTCTGGAGTGATGGGATAATCCAGGAGCTGGTAAACATCTCGGTCCAAGGGTTCGCGTTTATTCGATATACGATCGCTCATTCAGCCAGTAAAAATGGCGCCGCATTGTCGCATTATGTCCTACCCCACGGTACCTTCCGTGCTACATCCTTGACGTGCGCGCATTCAACAACCAAACAGCACTTTCATTCCAAGTCATTTCCCGGGCTTTATATTTCGACAGGTGCGAAGGTGTACCGCGTATGGCGTGTGTGCTGGTGTAAGAACTATTACGTAACGGAAGCCGGATGGGCGCATGAGTAAACAAGCGTAACAGGTGTCGCGTCAAGTGATAAAAACCGTATACAGAGCAATGCTAGTCCAGATCGCCAGAGTCAATGCCAATAACATACTTGCTATATAAAGACAACCCGGCTCCGATTTCATCGCTCACCAAGACATTCAACAAAAACAACGGACAAAAACGAAGGTCAACGGCAAAAAAAATATACGAAGACGGTTATCTACATTGCAAAAACGGCACCGCCTCACAATGAACAATATTTTTTTTTCCGACAGCCCTGAGGCTTGACTAGACTGTCCGCCTTGGTGGGACCTGACCACGCATCCGGTGGCTGCCGGCGGACCTGGTCCCCACCAATCCTTCACCAAAGACCCAGCGCCGAGCCCACGAGCTTTGTTGTCGGCGCACTAAACCTCCGGCCCGAAAGGCGTGGCTATCAGGTACGGCTGGCACCGAACGACCAATGACACAACTCGCCCGAACTCAAAACCCGACCATTATTTGGATTTCTGACTACAACTTTTTAGTAATTGAGGCGATACGAGTTCAGCCCAGGCGCAGCAGCAGCGGCACAGACATAAACACAACGCATGTAGGCACTCCAGCACGTTGTGAACAAGTCCACTGAGCAATTGGGCATCCGGAAGCAGTGGAATGGGTGGCGACAGGCTGAGCGGGCGTGTACTGATCAGAGGAACTGAGAGCAGCTTTGTCCGGTCAGCTGCCCAGGCCCAGCCGCCTCCCCGTCGAGCTGTCCTAGGATCATCAGCCCGAGCGAAGAAGGCGGTGGGGCGCGGCCCGCGATACGGTCGCTCGGTCTTACAGGACTCCTGAGCATCCGCAATACGTGCATCATGAACGCAGCCTGACAATGTCTGAGCAACACTCGCGTCCACCACGACCTCATCCTACGAGACGAGCGCTCGAGAGACATCAACACCACCACCCCCGCCATGAAGGGTGCTCTCATCAGAGCATTTGCCAGGCTAATGCGAGGTCTATGGAAGGGCTCAGATGAGGCTGGCCGGGTGCTGCTATCTGCCCATTAAAGGTACATTTCCAGCGGTTTACGGTTTACGAATTCATGGGCTATCAACAGCATGACACACAAGAGTTCCTCCGATACCTGCTGGAAGGTTTCCACCAGGACGTAGACCGTGTCGACACCCAACCCAAGCCCTAACATACCCACATCGATGACAGCGTTATTGCTAACCAGAACCCCTGGAGGCCCGTGAGCGTTTCCTATTCCCGAAGAGTGAAGTTTGTTGACCTGTTTGTCGAAGAGCCTAGGTTCACGCTACGGTGAACGGTGCACGGGCACGTCTGCAACGTTCGACCCGTCCTGGGACCTGAGCCTGCCAATCTCATCCATGACGGGTCTTGTGCGCTCGCAGGACTGCTTTGACCTATTTATCAAGGTGTTCTGCCCGATCCGCCGTACCAGGAGACTGGATGTACAGTCTCTGCATCATGACACACCATTCTGGCGTGGAGCACTCAGGCCACATCACGGCCCACTGTAAACACCATTATTTTGGAGTCTGTTATGAGTACACCAGAGTTCAGCCTATCCGTATGCACCGCGCCGACAGCCTCAAAGCATGCATGCCGTTTTTCGAGCTGGCCAATCGCTGACCTGGTGCCGACCTAAGCGCCAGTACAGGAGGGAGTTGGAGAGGGCTGTCCCACCCCTAGTTCCGTCGGTTAATCGTTTTTGACTACTTTGACTGCAGAGGCTAATATAAAACGTGACGACATCGTGAAGTCCGGCGTAGCTACGCTTTGTTAACAGATTCATGGGAATTGCACTACGTTGCTATAAAATCGGTTAATGTATCCCGAAGCACTCAGAGCCAATACGGATGGTTGCATGTTCCAAGCCGACGATGGCTGGTCCCTACGAGTAGTCACCGGGACACAAAGCTACAAAGCATTCGCCTACGCACCAGCTAACCACATGAAAACTAACTGGAACACTTGTACAGAAGACTCGCAAACACCAGCACGTTAGTGAGGCATGGGACGGCCGGCGGCCCCCGCTCGCCGCAGAGGAGTCGGTGCATCGGACGACTCCACACTGGTCGAACGGCACAAGTGCGCCGTCACACCCGCGGCGTGTCATCAGAGCTCATGACGGCCCTGGAGCAGCCCCAGCCGGCTGGCGCAGCTCCGGAGCCGCCGTCACACCCGCAGCGCGTCCTCTAAGCTGGTGACGGCCCTGGAGCAGCCCCGGCCGGCTGGCGCAGCTCCGGGGCCGCCGTCACACCCGCAGCGCGTCCTCTGAGCTGGTGACGGCCCTGGAGCAGCCCCGGCCGGCTGGCGCAGCTCCGGGGCCGCCATCACACCCGCAGCGCGTCCTCTGAGTAGATGACGGCCCTGGAGCAGCCCCGGCCGGCTGGCGCAGCTCCGGAGCCGCCGTCACACCCGCAGCGCGTCCTCTGAAGCTGGTGACGATCCTGGAGTAGCCCCGGCTGGCTGGCGCAGCTCCGGAGCCGCCATCACACCCGCAGCGCGTCCTCTGAGCTGGTGACGATCCTGGAGTAGCCCCGGCTGGCTGGCGCGGCTCCGGAGCCGCCGTCACACCCGCAGCGCGTCCTCTGAGCAGATGACGGCTCTGGAGCAGCCCCGGCCGCCTGGCGCAGCTCCGGGGTCGCCGTCACACCCGCAGCGCGTCATCAGAGCTGATGACGGCCCGGGAGCAGCCCCGGCCGCCTGGCGCAGCTCCGGGGCCGCCGTCACACCCGCAGCGCGTCCTCTGAGCAGGTGACGGCTCTGGAGCAGCCCCGACCGGCTGGCTCGGCTCCGGAGCCGCCGTCACACCCGCAGCGCGTCCTCTGAGCTGGTGACGGCCCTGGCGCAGCCCCAGCCCGCTGGCGCAGCTCCGGGGCCGCCGCTACAGCCGCAGGGCGTCATCTATAGAGGGCGTGGCGGTGGAGGCAGCGGAGCGCACCCGCCCAGCGTATCGGCTGCCTCGGCCCAGTCGTCTGCAACAGGCGCCAGCTGCCAGCGGAGGACGAGCCCAGCCAGGCCAGACATTCGTATAACATATCTGTATATCGTTCAACTGTATCGACTGGAATCGCTTATCATGTCCACGCACACTTCCCGTGAGGCGTCGTTAAGTAAAGGCGTGGACCGATCGGTCACATGAAACATGACTGCGCATGCGCAACATTAATGCAATTAAAGCTAGCCATCTATTCCAGGTCAACCAGCGGATCGATCAAGCAAAAGCAGCCAGGTTTGCCGTCTGCTCCTTCCGGCCAAGAGGATGAGATATGAAGGCACCGACCTCTCCAGTTCTCTGAAGGCCTCCTCCGCGGCCTGGACACGCTTGTCCTGTCGGCCGAACATGAGGTTCTCGATGGCCCAGCACCGCCTGCTCACCTCCACTGCCCGCTCCAGCTGACCCGAGGTCACGTATAGCTGACCTGCAACGGCTCGGCTTCAGCTCCGACGTACATGGCGAATTCTCACTCGCGGAAGACATATCTAGATCATTTCGGCGACCAGCCCCGCACCGAGAATGATCTCAAATCGTGAAATGAGACGGTTCACTAGCTCGCCTCCCTTTTCCGCGAGGCTCCTGTGTCAGCACTCTCCCCAGCCTCAGCCGCGACCCTCTTCCCACGTGCTTCGGAGCAGCCGCCGCGGCGCCGCGAGACCGACACTCACTGAGCGAGCGCAGACTGTCGGCCACCTCCCGGCTCAGCTCGCCGTGCGTCTCCACTTTGGCCTTGGTGTTGGCGCGACACTCCCTGGTGGCTTTCTCGTGGTACTGCTGCTCCACGTGTACCTGTCGGGGAGGGCGTCACGTCACGGGAGCTGGTGTCTATGTTCCAAGTTCTAAGGCTGATGGAGGATAACCTCATAGCAAATTTGTATGTAAAGGTTATGGTTGTCCATGGCTCGCTATGGCGCCAGGGTGCCATAGCGATGCCATGGCACGAGGGTGTGCACCAATTTGCACGTGATATGCCGGGGTGCTCCGCGCACGACCTCGGGTGTATTAGATGTGAGGTGTTCCTGGTAGGAACATTACAACCCTCGCACATTCCTATTTCATAGAAAATATGTTAGATCTGCATGACATCTCCCACCACGTGGCCAAAATACTTCAACGGCGTTGTTACAATCGGGAGCCCCAACGTCTGACCTGTATGAGATCTCGTCAGCCATTATGGACAGCGCTGCAGTGGGTTGCCCGTGTCTAACCTGTATCAGGTGATCGGCCACCTTGATGGTGGTGACGTGCGCGGCGCCGAGCCGTGTCAGGCACCGCTGGTGCAGGCCCGACAGGCCGGCAGAGAGGGCGGCCGGGTCCGAACCGGCCAGGCGGCCCTCGGCCCGCAGCACCGCGTGCTCCGCGTCCAGGTGCTCCGCCGAGTTCTCACCCCAGCTGGGAACACAGCGCACACTGACAGCCCACGGCACCATGCGAAGACCTCTCGCCCCGCCCCCGCCAGTCGGCGAGTCGGCCGGTGCCGAGATCCCCGAACCCCTCCCGCCAGTCCGCGGGCCGGCCGGTGTTGAGCGCCCCTAACCCCCCCCCCCCCCCGCCAGTCCGCGAGTCGGCCGGTGCCGAGCTCTGCGCACCCCTCCCGTCAGTCCACGGGCCGGCCGGTGCTGAGCTCCCCGCGGCCCTCCCGCCAGTCCGCGAGTCGGCCGGTGCCGAGCGCCCCGCACCCACCACTGCGCCGTCAGCTCCGCTGCCTGCCGCAACCAGCGCACGGCCTGCACGGCGTTCTGGCGGCGGGCGCCGCGCGCCTCCAGCTGGCCCAGCTCCCGGAGCAGGGCGGCGGCGGCCGGCAGGTCGGCCTGCTGGCGCACCAGCCGCTCGGCCTCGGTCAGGTGGGCGCGCGCCTCCTCCAGGCGGCCGCGCGCCGCGCCGGCCCGACCCAGCCAGCCGTGCAGCCGCAGCTGCAGCCGGCCTGAGCTCCGCCAGCGGCCGAGCCGAGGACGGCCGGCGGGCGGCGCGCCTCTCCGCCAGCTGCGCGTACGTGGCCAGCAGGTCGGCCGCCTTGCGCAAACAGTCCTCGGCTGCCGCCGGCTGGCCCAGCTGCACCAGCGCCTGGCCGCGCACCAGGCGAGCCAGCAGCTGCATGTGGAGTACCTGCAGACCACCATCAGCAGCAGATGACGGCGGGTGCTGTATCGGTACGTTTTCATTGAGTTATCTGACTGCAGGCATTGCAGATTAAGGTAACATTGCTATTAAGTTATATGGCTTTGCGCCCGTCATCACGATTGCAGGGCTGGTACAGCCTCTGTCACCCTCACGAGGGCATCGCCGTTACCTGGCTTTTGCCGTCAGGTATGAGTTCCGTCCCTTGGTACATGAGGATCGTTGTCAAAGCCTCACTTGCATGCTCATCCGCCTGCGCTGGCAAGTCCTGCAACACGCAAGATGGAGATGAACCGTAGCTACAGGCGACGCTAGAACAAAGACAAAACAACATCGTGAGCTGGCAATGTTCATAACAGGAATCTAACAGCACAAGAGGTGAAAGTCAGAGCAGATGGGTTTACAGGGCATACTGTTTCAAACTTGGCGCGGAGCGTAGTGTTTCAAAATTGACTCTACACCCTGTAGTAAGACCACTTTAAAATATATTGACGCATTTAGAGGTCACAGTCAGTTCTCACAGAGACTGAACGATCGCCAGCCGCAGATGCACGTCACCCAGCACGAGCCGCGCGGCCGTCTACCTGCAGGTCGAGATACGCTCTGGCCAGCAGCACCTGGCAGCGAAGCGTTCGCCAGTGCCGGTCGCCGTAGAGGAAACGAGCCAGCGCCAGGGCGCGCACGAAGTGGGCCACCGCCGTCGGACCCTGGCGGCGGAAGTAGGCACGTCGCGCCTTCAGCAGGTACCTGGCGGCGCAGGCGGGCGGCGCTGTCACGGCGGCACGATCCGGCCTAGATCGGGACGAAACGCACTGAGTGTGACTCTTCGTTCCGAGAGGAGCACTGCCACGTGATGTCAGGGTGTGGAAGAGGTGTTAGAACGTGTGTTTGGGACGGGGAGCCGGTACAGCTGTGCAGAGTTTGCTCGGAATAGAACAAATTATAGCTTCATTCCAACACCTAGTCGCATTTAAGTGATCACTAAGCCACACCTCAACCACGACAGCACGCCGCCGCTGGACCTTACTCCGGCCCCCATCGAGAATCGGAGTTATTGCAGGCGACGCCACCTCGCTAGGCTAGTGCGCGGACGTCGCGGATCGGGACGGACCTCTGCAGGCGGCGGCGCGTCGGTCGGAGGGCAGGGTGCTGGTGCGGCTGGACGTCATCCCGCCGCTCCCGGGGCGGCGTCGGTGAGTCGCTGATGCCGCTGTCCGCCGCTCGGCCGGCGGCTGTGCCACTGCTGGCGACATCAGACTCGGCGGCGGCGGCAGCGGCGGCACCGGTGTCCGCCTCATACTGGTCCCCCTCGCTGGGAGAGACGAGGGTCGTTAGGTCCGGATGGTCCGTAGTAACGGCCGTCGCCAAAGCATGCATGGATCCACCCAGGATCGTCAACGCATGCATGGATCCACCTAGGGTTGACAACCTGACAACGTTGACGAAAACCGTCTCAGGCACCAGTCACTTGTGGAGATGACATAAAGGCAGCAGGTTTGAATTTTGTAATTTACTGTGCATCCATACCTGTAAGAATATTGTCCCTCAGAGTCATCTGAGTAATTTCTGTCATCGGCCTCATCAGCCTCAAGTCTGCTGCCATTCTCAGATGCTGCATGATGGCCTGTCTCTGAGCCAGTGCAGGAGTCATCTGATTCAAAGTCACTTCTGTAGTCATCCATTGTTAAGACAGCTCAAGGTGAAGAGGTGCTGGAAACCAACACATGCCGATCATCACTTGATGAAGAACATTTGGTGGGAGATATCTGGGTCTCCAAAGTCAGGCTCTGCTGTTAAGTTGAACAACCATGCCCTTTACATGTGAAATTTGCTATGGGGCTATTCTCCATCAGCCTTAGAACTTGGAACATTTCTTGCAGTTCTAGGGAACATATAACATGCTATAGGGTAGTTTATCTGCATGCTAGGAGAAATTAGTGGTACAGCTATTGTTAAAGTAACACAGCAAGGTAGAACATAATTGCTACATAAATTTCAATTTTTCCTCTTGACACAACACCAACGATGTCAGGTATACAGGAACAGCTGAGCGTAGCTCCGAAGGCCGTTTCCACTGTTGCAAAACTGATGGATGTCTATACCAATATACAGTGAATGGATCATTTGCCATTCTTCCCAAACACAAGACTCCTTCAGGGATGCTGTGTGACTTTGTTGTCTGACACAATATAACCTTTCATATACATATAAATAATATGAAAGCAGGCTGTACACACAAACAATTTTGTTTACTAAAATGAACAATTGTGGAGCACAGGCAGCCCTGTGAATTTCAGAAAAGAATGGTCTTTACTTTACATTACCAGTTATTTTGATGGTAATAATACAATTATTGATGCAACCTTTTCTAATCATCATTGTATTACAGGTGCTCTAAAGCCAGCACTGCAAAAATCCTACCCACTGCACCTCATGCTTACATGGCAATGATGCCATGAATCTAGAGCATGTGAGCATTGAGCTTGGGTATGAACATATTGTGCTGAATTTTCAATTATTTCTGCTTGAAAAAGAGGCAGCATTTTTACATGAAGTTAGGTACTTCTCAACACCAAATTGCTTGAAACAAGGGCTTTGAATGTACTGAAGGTTATCCCTGGCTTTCAGTTTTGTTGTGTGGGCTGGAATTGTTGCTGGGATGAGAACTGTGGCTGGGTAGCTGGTATTACTGCTATGCCAGACATGTGTGGAATGACAAGTATTTTTGCCATCTTACTCTCATATAGCTGTCATATACAGTTTAGTCCGGATAAGAAGTTTCCAGTCAACCTTTGACTATTAGCTTGTACAGTAGAAATTCAACTGAAGCGTGTGAATGTGATGACTTGTGTAACAAAAAACTGAAAATAAAGCAATCAGCCGGGCATTCAAACCTCAATCAAATATCACGTCCCAAAACGCGCTTGCAGGTGGATACCGCCGTCAATTCACTGTCTGAGAAGTGAACAAGCTAACGCAACTTTTATAAATACCAACGTAGAAGACGCGATGTACCGGGTACATGTACATAATATAAATGTCGGCACTGGGACCACCCACTGTACCCGATCGCATCCGGCATTGCAGATGCCCTCAGTCGCCAATGCCCAAGGGTCCTATAACAACGGAGCTAGGCCCTAGAGCTAAGTCACAATACGCAATGTTTGGATTCCTGGCATTTTGTTCCCATGGCAACGAACTTGACTAGCGATGAATGATGCTACTAAATGGTATGAAAAGCGAGCCACAGACTTTTGCCCCTAGGAACATTTATATGGCAATACAACACACGGTCAGCCTGTGTACGTAACCTCTCACTGAGTGAAAAGAGCATTATGGCGGTTACCGTCGGGGATTATCTCTCCTAGTTAGGATGTTAGCATAGGCCCTGCTCTGGTTATGCTCTACGCCCTTCTCTATGCGCAACGCAACATATAATTGGCTACTACTTACAGTGCTCAATAGATCTCTGACTTCACGGACATCTATAAATGTGCAACAGATAACAAGTGCAGGTCAATGTGCGAATGCAAATAGTGAAAAGTTAGTTATATCAACCGGCATTGCACGAGTGTGTTGCACAGGCAGGTGAACTTCGGTTATGCGCTGTCGGTGGGTCAACCGAGCGAAATCGAACCAAAATCTGACGAGTATGATGTGCTAGCCTGAGGTAGGTCTTAAGCGGTGTTATTGAAGGCACGCAGTTGCAATCTTCGGGTTTTATTACATCGCTTGTCACGGGCAGCAGTATTTTGAGTATCACTCAACGGGTGGATTAGCCCAAGTAAGCTATGCACTCTAAAGGGCTTATTCGGACAAAAAAGTCAAATCAGACGAGGGGGTTTCATTTCCTTACGACAATGCTCCTACAGCGACGTTGTCTTCGAAAAGTTGTACCTTTCGCACGCGAGAAAAAGTGTTTCAAATTGGACAGCGCATCTGTGCGAATCACTGCATGGCGATTGCGCGACGGGCAGGCTGGCCGCAGTTGCTCTGTGCCGTCAAGTGGCGATTTCAACAAAAAGATCATGTCGGCTGATACGAGACTTACATTGCCGACCGATGGTACTCCCGCAATGGTATTGTGTGAGGAAGGTTGCAGCTTCCCCGCACGAGTAAAAGCATTTAAAACTGTTCGCCGGCCGCTCGCAAACACTGAGAAGTACGCTGCCGGTGGGTCGACCAAGTAAAATCGGAACAAAAATATGGCAACCCCGCAGGGGCACCGGCTTCGGCCGATGTATGGGACTAGCGCTCCCTCGGGTCCCAGCTCCGGTAACAGGTGGACGGCGCAAGGTGTTTCTCTAGGGCGTAGCGACCCTGCCGGTACGTGATCTCCCGCCCTTTGTCCCGCCCCTCCCTTCCCATTGCCTGCTTCCCCGCATCCGGCCCACTCATCGATCCTAATCCTCGTTTTATCGGGGTCGCCGTGCCCCCTCGCCCGCGTCCCCGAGTTGATCGGATCCTGGTGGCTGAGGGGCTTGTCGTGCAGGTCAGTCGCGGCGCGTCCCAACACTCCACTTCGGCCAGAATATCCGGGGGCGTTGGGGGCCCATGGGGCCCCACGCGTGTCTAGTGGCATGTCGCTTGCACTGCGGCTGGGTGCTCCGTGCGGGTCTCCGCTTGGGGCGACTGACCGCGCGCGGCGGCTTAAGGGGTCAAGGGGCGGCGGCGCTGAACCCCGGTCAGGACGGGGAGGGGGTTTATCTGGTTACATCTGGCCGTGAGGGAGGTGTCGTTCACCCCGTACAGCACCGGGGTAGTCCTGGCGGTGACCACCTCCCGTGGGAGTGTTGGGCCGTCCGCCAGTTGGGCTCCGCGGTGGGTGGGAGCCCCGGTGCCGAAAGAAAAACCTACTTTGCATGGCATCCTTTAACTCTAAAAACACCCGTTATCCGAAAGGGGGTCGGACCACAATAACCCAAGGGTGGAGAGAAGACTGTTACCCCGGACCACGGATTCTCGTCTTCGAAAGTGATGAGGTTAGGTGGGCGTTCCTGTCACCGTTTCAGAGGCGAAATAGCTGCGACAGATTTGGAAAAATTATCAGATGTGACAATCTCCGGGATGGAAAAATAGAAGCCGAATTTGCTGGTGGCTTGGAGGCGATACGGGCTATGGAAGCAATTGAATTTTCGTATGGTGTTCCAGATGGGGCTGGTAAGCGGGAAAAAAACAGTGTCAGTTTCAGCGACGCCATACAACACCAAAAATTCGTCCGGGGGCGTGGTCAATTGTTTTGATCTATGTGACGTTGACGAGGGGGAGATCGTGGGGGAGCTGTCGGAGTTTGGAGTGACCGCCGCTCGGCGGATCCTTGTCAGAAGGGGAGGAGAGTTGGTGCCCACAAACAACCTCATACTCAAGTTCAGTCGCCCTGACTTACCGTCCGAGATATGTGTGGTATACGTCGGCGTGAAAGTTCGTCAGTTTGTGCCCAATGCCATGCGGTGTTATCAGTGCCAGCGACTTGGTCACACCAGACCCAACTGTGGGAACCGCGCAGCGTGTGGCAAATGTGCGTCCTTCGAGCACATGAGCAAAATCTGTACTCCTGACAAACTCCACTGTGTCAACTGCGGCAAGGACCAGGTTCCGCATGCGTCGTATGAAGGTGCATGCCCAGCTTACGCAGGAGAAAGAAATTATATCAATTAAAACTGATAAAAAGGTATCCTTCCGTGAGGCTCGAGAACTTAATAACGAAACCCACCCAAAAATATCGTACGTGTCGAAAGTGAAAGCTTCGTTGCCGCACACTAATGTGATCGAGGAAATGACGGCTGTTCAGTTTCTGGAACTTCTGAGGTCATTTGGCCCATCAGCTGTACCCTCCGCCCGCGCGCTGGACTCGCAGCCAGCACCCCAAGCTCCCTCCCCACCAAGCGAGCAGCCGGTGGCCGCCGTGCTGCCGGCCTCCTCGGCACCGGTTGGATCGCCAGCGAATGACGGTTGGACGACGGTTCCGCGTGGCTGCAGTCCTCGCGCGCCGTCGGACATTCCGTCGTCTGAGACACCACCGGTCTCCTCATCACAGACACCCCTCGCCAGTGCCTGTCAGCGTGTAGCGGAGACGATGGAGCGTCAGGGGGCTGACAGGTGCGCCCGTGATGCTAAGCGTGCACGCCTGGCTGAGCAGGAGCGGGCCAAGATAGCCAATAGGCTGTCGGGAGCGGGCAAGGAACCCGACCCCCGGAGCAACACTCCGTCTCCACGAAGGCCGGTTGAGGCTCCACCTCGGCACCAGGTGGTGGACAGGGGCTCAGTGATTGCCCCTTCTCCTCCACCACCACGCACGGGATATGCTGGCACCAAGCGTATCCCGTCTGGGCCCCTGTCTCCAAGTGACGTGGGTAGCCCAAGGTCCCGCTCCAGGCTGGGGCACGGATCTGTGGAACAGGCTTCCAGATCTGAGATATCTGGCGCTTCATCCAGGGCGGCGCAATTTTTTGGAATCTCCTGTTTTAAGTGCGAGACCCTTTTTTATAAATTTATTCCGAATGGTTTGTAAGGGTGATTTCTGATTCAGAGTACCTGCTAAGCGTAGCTTGTTGCGTGTACCCCAAACCCACCACCCAAGCGTGCCGTCCAGTTCAACAGCTAATTTTGCCTCCGCCCTTTCGCCAGACAGGGATGCGGAGGGTTTTACGTGCCGCACAATGCTGCGACACGGCCGCCTCGGGTCCGGGTTGAACCTTGTTGGCCAGTTGCCAGCTGGCCTTTCCTTTTCAGCCGGGTCAAACAATGCGCCCACTCTGGGACTCGTACCCAGTGCCGCTGGATTACGAGTCCAGCATCTTTCCCCAAGACCACGGAGGCGGCCTTTAAGTTTTTTAACACCTCCTTTAAAGACTTTTACAGTGGAATTGCAGGGGAGTAAGGGTTAATGCGCTCAACCTCCAGGCTGAGGTTGGCCGGAAGTGTCCCGCAGCTGTAGCTCTGCAAGAAACAAAACTGGCGCCGAACTCCTACATCACGTTAAAGAGTTACGCAGTTTTCCTCAGGGACATGTCCGCTGACACTGTTGCGCACGGTGGTGTCCTCCTGGCCGTTCATCACAGCGTGCCAGCCCGAAGGCTGGACTTGAAATCGTCGCTTCAGGTTGTAGCAGCACGTGCTCATTTCAGCAGTCACACCATCGCAGTCTGCTCATTGTACCTGCCACCTGGCGCCAGTTTTCCATCATTGGGGCTCAGGCACCTGATGGCTGAGCTTCCTCCGCCGATCTTAGTGTTAGGAGACCTTAACGTCCATCACACTGCCTGGGGCTCTGATGAAACAAACACACGCGGGCGGTTGTGCGAAAGCTTTATTCATGATGCTTCCTTGTGCATTCTAAACACCGGACAGCCGACGTATTTTAGTCTTCCTTCCGGACGGACACCAACCCTCGATCTCAGTCCGTCTAGTCCGCAACATATGCCGCGCCTGGAGTGAACAGTGGCCGACGATCCACAAGGAAGTGACCATTTTCCGCTGTGGTTGAGATTCCGCAGTGCTGGGGTTCAAGGTACCAGGACCCAGGATGGAATTTTGAAAAGGCCGATTGGAAGAGCTTTAAAGCTCGACTGGAAGCGTCGGTTTCCACGCATCCCGACAGCATGCCTACCTCGGCAGAGGATATTAATGCTCTGCTTTTAAAATGCGCTGACGGGTGCATCCCCCACACTTCATGTAAACCACGCCGCACGCCCGTTCCGTGGTGGACGGATAAGTGTCATGACGCCATCCGTGTGCGCAAACGCGCTTTTCGAGCCTTTGACCGAAGGAGCAGCACGGCCAATCTGATTGATTTTAAGATTCGTGGCGTGATTACGTCTGCTCACTTACCCGTCTCACACCTACTGCCCAGGTCTGGTCACGGATCAAGCAAATTTCCGGTCGGTTCTGCTTTACGCCACTCCCCGTACTATATGTAAATGGCCACGACGTCATACATCCAGTGGATGTTGCAAACGAAATTGTCCGAGCAATCTTGGAGCGCAGTCGTAACGTCAGTACGAAACGGTGCTTTGTTTGTCGTAGAATGCGACACGAAGAAGCACACATAGACTTTTCTTCTACCGAACACATGTCGTATAATGATTCCTTTACCACGGTCGAATTAAAATATGCCATCAGCATGCTGCAGTGCGTGTCAGAGGATCCTGATGGT